TTCTTAGGGTGGCGAGACTAATGGGTCCTGGATCCTTGGACATCTGTCCTTGAATATGCACCTGTGAGTTGCCCACTTGAAAGTCCATTGTGAGACAGGCCCAATCACATATCACCGGCCCTAGTTGCCTTAACCATTGGACTCCGAGAACTACATTTGCTCCACTGATTTCTAGGGGATGTAGATCTACCTCGAACTCGTGTCCTTGTATCTTCAGTTTTAATCCTGCGCATGTACTGTCGCACACCAGATTGCTCCCATTAGCTACATGCACCCAGAATGTTGTACATGGTTGGACCGGAATCCCTAGTTGTCTGACCAATGTTTGAGTAATGAAATTGAGAGTGCTGCAACTATCTATAAGAACCGACACATGGTGCCCTTGAACCAGTCCGGTTACTCTCATAGTTTGAGAGGAGGCAAGACCGATCAAGGCTTGCAGGGATACTTCTGGATATTCCTTTGTCCATTGCTCCCATTCTTGGTTGTCCACTGGCTCGTCAATGTCTGCTGATTGCTCGACGTTTTCGGTTTCGGGCTGAAGGAAGAATACTTGTGGGATCTTACAGCGATTGCCCGGTCCAAATTTGTCTCCACATGCATAACAAAGACCCTTTTCTTGTCGGGCTTGCATCTCAGCCCAGGTTAACCTCTTGGCTGAGCCGGGGCCTGAACCAAAGTTGGCTTCCTTGCTTGTGATTCCTACTCCTGGTCTAGACTCCGGTTTACCCAAGATACCCAGTTCTGGATTCGGTATACTTGGTCTGACCACAGCACCCAAGGGTCGATTAATCCTTCTTGCCCGGTTCAGTTTGTCTTCATGGAGTCGAGCTAAGGCTGCTGCGTCAAGAACGGTGGTGGGTTGCATGGCTTTAACCTCCAGCCACAATTCTTCCTTGAGTCCACCAACAAAACTGCCGACCAGTGCGTTTTCTGGCCACCCTTGCACGCGCACAGCTAACCTTTCAAACGCCATCTGATAATCTTGGACGGAGCCGGTCTGTCGTAGCTTAGTGAGGCTTTCATCATAGTTTTCAAAAGCCGAGACTCCAAATCTCATGGTTAAGGAATCGGTGAAGTCCCCCCATGTGGCTCTTGGGTGTCGCCGCCAGTACCACTAGTACCAGACAATCGCCTCTCCTTCCAGGTGTGCGGAAGTTAGTGGAACACGATCCGGTCCCGGCGTATCATGGTAATCGAAGTACCTTTCGGTTCGCAGAAGCCAGGACGTGGGATCCCCCCCGCAAAGACGGGAAACTCGATTCTTACCGTTCTTGATCCGCTTCAACGACTGGTGTCACTTCGTTCTTCCTGCCCTTCCCGATTCGGCACTGGTGGTGTCTGTTCCAGTCGCCCAAGCAAGGACGCGAAGCTCTCTTTTATTTCTTTGGCGTTAGCCGATAATCTTTGCATTTCTCCTTCCATGTTGCCGACCCTGTTCTCCACCATGGACAACCTTGTGCTCGGCATCTTGGCTCTGATACCAACTTGTTAGGTATCTGCCTAACTGAGGGACTTTTCAAGGAAGTCTGCCTCCTGAACGAGAGAGAAAGAGAGAGAGAGAGAGAGAGAGAGAGAGATTACAATTATGTTATATCAGCCTCTCCACTTGTCCAGTTTGTTTATTTAGTTTGATCTAGTGGTTGGCTGTCGGTTACATTACTTAAAGGCTGACGTGGCCTTTTCTTGTACACTTGTCCCTCTATTCCCTTTATTTGTGTCTTAACAATTTAATATCATGCTAACACTGAGCGTACATTATCATAATGATGATGCATGTTTAATCAAGATAAACATAATTTATGATATCTTCTAAAACTATTTTCTTTTATGTATTATATGCTTGAATCTTTAGCTTTAATCAGCTTCATTTTACAAGTTCAAAACATATTTTAATCATAACAGATGTCCTTATCTTTTCTCTACATCCTTCTTGTACGTATTTATATTTTTAAAACAAATTGCAAAACACATTACAACTTCTTTTAACAACAATATCTCCTGCCATAACAATGTCATTTTTCTTGACCATACATCCATTGCAAATTAGAATTTATTGCCAGGAATAAGAGTGTAAATAAAAGCATTTACACCAGAACATTGAAAAGTAGGATTACAGAGGAAAATGATAGGGTGTAACAGAAGCAGGTTGAAGCCATGGGAAAGAGTTATGAATTAGCTCAAGACAACTGAGTTTTTCCAGTCCTTATAACACCCATACCCGCTCCATGTTTTACCATGTAGGTCTACCTAATTCCAAATGTTACCTGGCCAGGGTTTGGCTTTGGAAAAAAAATGAAGATTCAATGTTAGCAATCAAATTGCTAAATATGGAATATCCCTATGTGTATCACCTGTTGTAGGCTACAATATCTAGTTATATCTGGTACTTTTCATATTTCAACAATTAAAGTTCTTAGAAGACATCAAATTAGAACCTTCTGAACAAGTTCTGTTGTAACTTACTTCATAATATAAAAATTGCATTTGCAAATGAGGATAGCCATCATGAATTTTAATGGTATCAAGAATAGAGCATCATATTTTGTTTGTTTGAAGAATTATGGACAACAGCAAGGAGACGGGAGGATGCCTCAAAAAAATTCTTCTTTTCTTCTCTTCCGGGTGAACAGAATTATCAAAAGTCAATAGAGAAAATGGATAATCTATTCAACAGGGTAGATGCAGTAGAAAGGAAACCAGTAAAGGAAAAACAACAAATGAATAAAAGGGAAAAAAAAAAAGCGATTGGAGATATAGTTTGACTAAGCTTACAGCTACACATGGAACAGAAGCATACGGTAGGGGTGTTTACAGTCCAATTCGGTTCGGTTTGGAGAAGATATCAGACCAAACCAATAAATTACAGTTTGAGAAATTCCTAGACCAAACCATTCTATTACGGTTTGGTCTGGTTTCTAGTATGATTTGGGCCATTCTATTGGGCTTAACTCAATTAGCCAGTCCAAATAACATGGATACCTACATAAATAACAAATATAATTCAAATATTAAATTGAAATGTTAACAAGTGTCACCTATTACTATCATATAAATATAAACTAGATTGACACTTTCTCAACGTAAACAGCTCTTTGAGAATCAAATTACAAGTTAAAAATTGAAACAGAATATATTATTAATGATTCGGCTTAATACCGTTTGCGGTTTGGTCTAGTTTTTAAAATTTAGAAAACCAGATCAAAACAAAAAAAATTGTGGTTTGAGAAATTCTCAGACCAAATCAAGCCGTTTTTAAGGCCAAATGAGGCCAAACCACTAATTTCGGTTTGGTTTGATACAGTTTGGCGGTCTAGACCATATAATGAACACCAGCATATGGTATGAAGATAGCTCTTTCCAGACTACAGACAAGTTGCAGCTTCAATTCTTCGAACCAAATCTGCATCCCTACAGTTCATCCAGATAATGGTTGCATCGATTATTAAAGAAAACAGAGACTAGATTCAGATCGCTTTCCATAACTACCAGAATTGGTTTTAATTACTTATTTAGTGGAGGCAAAGTTTCTAAAATTCATTGCTTAATGACCATATGTCATAATTCAAATAATTAATTAAAGAAAAAAACTAACCTGGTGACGCCAAAGCCAATGTTGTGAGGAGTAAATATTTCGTTGATTAGATAGGGGACCGAAATCTCACGACGTGAACGAGGGGATGTTGCATTCTGATGCATCCACTATATCAGCCCAACTGGTAGCCGAAGCGCCACTGAATGGTGCAATGCCACCAGCACTGAAATTGCAGAAGTTTCTGAAACGTTCGAAGACAAAGCAGAGAGAGAGAGAGAGAGAGAGAGTAGCGATACAAACGTCTCTAATGGCTCTGCTTTACTAATATCAGCTTTTCCAAAGATTTCCCAAATTCCTGGTTCGTAGATTCATTTTTCCCTCACTCTACGGCGACGGTATCTTAAGTACGGGCATCCAACCGCACATTCAGACCATCTCCCGTTCCCAAATTGCATGCAAACGCAAATATGTATGTTTACAGTAAATCCATTTATTACATTATTCATGTTTGTTTGAAATCAGTGCAAAGCATGGTTAAACCGTTAAATCCCTTAAAATTTTTGGTCAAATAAACCGAGAATATGTATTCAAAAAATGGGTACAGTAATATCCACTGTTTTCAAAACCGGACCGGACCAGAAAAACTGGAAACCGGTCACCTGACCGGTTCCGTTTTCCTCCAAAACTGCTTTTTCCCCAAAACCGTTGATTTTGGTCAGCAAACTGCTGAATCGGCCGGTTAACCGTTTGAATCGTTCAAACGATTTTGACCATTTTCCAATTTTTTAAATTTTTTTTATTTTTTTTTGTCAGAACGGGCCAGTTGTTCAGATCAAACAATCAGACTGTTTGAACCAGTAACCGGACCCCTGACCGGTTCGATCACCGGTTCATTTTTAAAAACCATGGTAATACCCTCTCATGATATAAAAATGTCAAAAAATACATTTTTAACATCTTAATCATTACATTTTTGTATATCAAATAAATATTCACAAATCCGAACTAAGGTATTTAAATACCCCAGTTTAACATTTCTATAGCAAGCAAACGCAGTCCAATGTGCGGCTTGATGCCATCCCAAAGAATCTCATGTTACTGCTCTTCCAATCATGTATACCACCTTGGGAGATAGAATTAACTGAATGCAATAACTCCATTTACCAATAAGAACACCATTCATAACATACATGGGGCCTATAGCCATTCAATTCATTGTAGTCCTATGTAATTTTCATAGGTGTGGAGTGATATCATTGGTTCCATAGTCCATTATACAGTTAATTTGTTCAGCTAATTTGAATTTCCATTTTAGGGCTTATTATACATATAATTTATATGTAAAGTAAAATATATAAATCATTTAAAATAAACAAAAATAAATTATTTTATAATGTTTAGTTCTTATAAAATTTTTGAGAAAAAATAAATCTTAAATCAAAGTTAATTAAGGTCTGATATGCCTCCATATCGGTGAATATCAAACCATATCCATTGATATAGTAGTGTATCATGCCGATACACACAACTGGCAAAATATACAGAGTTATAGTGTATCTTGTGCCCGATGAGCATGGATACGGATAGCCCACATCATTCCCAGCTTTATTTACATGCAGAAAACTTGCATCTAAAAAGTTTGTTAGCTCTATGATATCTCTCCACCAAAACAAAGCATCCTAAGCCAAATCACTCCTTTTATTCAAGATTAGCCTAGGTATGGGGGTACTTAAAAATTTTGGGTTTATTTTTAAGTGTTTATTCCTTTATTTGAAATAAGTGCCTTTTTTTAATGAGCAAATAATCACTCTCAAACTAGGCGTAAGAGTGTGATTCAACAATCACATGTGTCCGAAAATTGTTCTTGAACAGGTCCGAATTCCCAAAAGAAGTAGCCAATACTATGCCGAAACTGTCCTTACCTAAATCACGGTTGACACCTTGCAGTTGCAGCCCTATCATCAACCCTAACTAAAGAAATTCTTAATTAATTATACCGAAAAAAAAGAAGAATCTTTTTTTAATGTTTTTAATTAATTAGGGTTAATTTTAACCCTGACCCAACCCAAAGGGAGGTTTGTTTAAAATCCTAATTTTGGCCCCAGCTCAACCCAACTTTTGTCAGTTAGATTGGGGAGAGAAAAGAGAATTCTTTCGGACATAAAAGAATACAAGATCAGTAGAATCAACCTTAATCAAACTCAACAACATCAACAATAATTGATCACTTGATTTACCACTTGATTAAAACTAACTCAAACCTCACTTGATTTACCACTTAACGCAATTGATCACTTATATCCTTGGCCAAGTTAATGTTGGATTTTAATCTTATTAGAAATTAAATTTGATGGGATTTGATTGATTAATTACATGAAAAATACAATTGTATACATGTCTTGAAAAATATTTTTTTTCTTACTAAAACTAATTTTAGAGATTAAATCCAATGGGGTTTAATTGATCAATTGCATGAAAAACACACTTGTACACGTCTTGAAAAATAGTTTTTTCTTTTACTAAAATCAGTTTTTAACCTGTCCCACATTGAAAAATTACAAGACTTGTTTTGAGTTTCTAAATAATAGCTTATTTACACTCTTTAGAAATAAAGAAGAGAGTATGGAGGCTTGCTATTGTGCAACGTGTGTGCAATGAAGCACTTTAAAAGTGCACTTTCCTCCAGTCTAGACATACAAGTCCGAGACATGAATTTATTAGGTAATTGATTCAAGAATTGGTAAGAATGACAAAAATTGAGTTAAACTCTTAATGAAATTCTGAAATATATTGGACATTTTTATGTAATCTTCGATCTAACTTGAGAGTAATTGGTTTAAGGTCTTGTTACCAATAACTTTGACAAGGCTCTGAAATATCTATATTAATAAAATGTTTAAGTTATAAAACACATTTTGTATGAATAACTGTCATAGTAGTTTGAATCGAGACAGACCTATATAATTGATCAATCAAAGTGGGGGATTGTTGGATTTTAATCTTATTAGAGATTAAATCCAATGAGGTTTGATTGATCAATTACATGAAAAACACACCTGCACACATGCCTTGAAAAATAGTTTGTTGTCTTACTAAAATCAGTTTTTAACTTATCCCACATTAGAAAATTACAAGACTTGTTTTGAGTTTTTAAATAGTAGCTTATTTACATTCCTTAGAAATAAAGATGAGAGTATGGAGACTTGCTACCGTGCAACGCGCGTGCACGTGTGTGCGACACAATGAGGCACTTTAGAGACGCACTTTGCTCTCACTTCGTGCACACCCCGCATAGTTCACGAATGGTGGCTTTGACTTTTGGTGCGAGGCTGACCGTTGATGTTTCAACGGCCACGATTCGATTAGGTGTAATCAAGAGGCACTATTCGAAGTTAACAGTCATTAACTGTTAACTACCTTTTAGCAGTCACAATTCAATTAGCCTTTTCTGAAGTAGCACATTCCCCTTCTCTATGACTTCATAAATTATTTAAGGAGCATGACTCAAGCAATTGCACACACAAGTTTTTGAAATCACTCATGTCTCTCTCAGTTCGATCTACTACTGTCTAACAGAATGTTTCTTTGGAGACTCTTCAACTTTACTAGTTACAGACTCGCTCAAGGCTCTGTTGTATCCTGAGAATGAATTTACCTATAACCCAACAACAAACTCTATGGAACTGAGTGGGGAAAAATAACATTCTAAAGACTCTTCAAATACACCTAAGAGCTTCTCCTCCAAGTTTTAATAACCCCAATTTCTCAATAGTTAATACATACATCACTTGCTTTAAGTACCGGCAAGGCTGTGGTAGGTGAAGGATCCCAAAGGATCTGAACTCTTCATTTCTGGTTTTTGGATCCAGTAAGATCAATTAGACTTCCAACTCCATGGGATCCAAAGATTTCTATTGAGGTCGTTGTCTGTCAAAGACAACTTCCAACTCCATGGGGTCCAATCAAGCTGGTGTTAGCCCTCCTCCGGTATCATAAAAGAGGTGACAAATCCGATGGTATTCATTAAAATTCAAGGGGGCGCTTTGATTGGTTAATATGTCTTCTGGTATCATAGATTTTCCCGAAAGAAGTACTAACCAGTTTTAATAATACATCATTAAGAAATTTGGTGGAGCAAATTTCTACAAGTCTATTTCCTAAGGCGTAAACTTGAGTTGCTTCAACTAAGCTGCTTTGAAGAAGTCACTAAAAGAAGCTTCCATTGATGACCATGTAGATGGTTGAATAACAGTCGAATTGGTTTAATGAGTGTATCCATGCATATTACCAACCATGAATGAACGCACTAGTGTTCCATACACAGAGAGCCCACACAAGATGCATCTTCACTAGTGATTGGTAATTAGATAGCCTAGTTCAGACACTAGCATTCGCAGAAGATCCCATGTTTTTAGTCATGTTTCCAAAGCATATACACATCATTCCATCGTATCCAAGCATTTTTCAAAGCATATCATCAAGGTTTTAAAAATCAGATCAGATACGGAACCGTTCTGGGGATTGGTTCCCGACCATCTGATTCAAACGGACAGCCCATTCTTTACTTAAAAAATAAAAATTAATAAAATAAAAAATGGTCAAACCATTATATGGATTAACATTTAACAGGTCAATGATTCAACTGCCCAAATTAACAAATTACTGATCAAATCAACAATTTTTAATCAAAAACTGATTTTAAGGTGAAACGGAACCAATTACCTGATTTCTCCCTGAATAAACCGGTCCAATTTTCAAAACCATGCATATCACAAGTTTACAACACAAATTTTAGAAATCACCTTTCTATTGCCTTCTGCGATAGAGGTACACAAAGATACTTGGCACATTTGTATAAATGCATGTCACGTATAAGGAAAAAAAAGGTTGTACCGAAGGACCAATACTGCATGGATACACACATTAAAGTAAATACTGCTGTTTTGTTCTCAGTAACCAGTTCTCTTCGTCCACTTAAAAAACCAACTCGCACCTACCGTAATCAAAGCTGCAACTTCTAATAAACAAATCCCTGATAAGAGGCGCTCTTTATGATCTTAAATATTCAGGTACCTCATGGAAACAAGAAAAGCTGATGTATTTGATCACCTATTGTCTTAGAATAGATTGGTTTAATTAATAAACAAATTCCAGCTTTGTTCAATTTATATGTTCCATTTGCCAATCATTTTTTAGAAATGGACTATGTAATAGCAGTTAGCGGATTCGTTTTGAATAATTTCCTCCAAGCGTTAATGAGATCAATAGACAGCCTTAATAGAAACTATGGTTTTCAAAACTGGACTGGACCGGACAGTTAAACCGGAAATTCGTCAGGTGATCGGTTCTGTTTTTCATCAAACCCAGATTTTTGCCAAAAAACATTGATTTGGTCAATAAATCGCTGATCCAGGCAGTTGAACCGTTCAAACCGTTAAACAGTTTTAACCATTTTTTTATTTTTTAAAATTTTTTGTCAGAACAGACTGACTGTTTGGTTCAAATGGTCAGCCGTTCGACCTGGGAACCGGATCCCTAACCGGTTTATTGTCCGGATTGGTTTTAAAAACCTTGATAGAAACTTTAATCCACTTGTGGTAGCTCCATATTCCGTCCACCTCATTCATTAATGATCTTTTTTCATCTCTGTACGTTTTTCTTGCTTACCATGTGCCCATCCATACACCTATGCAAACTGAAAGCCCCATTGGCTTTCACTTACCTGGCAATTGAGTTTACCCAATCAAGTGTTTAAAAGTTGTCATTGTTCTACATATTCACTTATCTGGGTAAAGAAAGAGGCAAAAGGGGATTAACGTTTTCGATAGACAGATAAGCAACTTATAATGGCGTAAGAATGTGAGAAAGTTGGTCAATTATCTAAATTCCCCCCGCCCCCATGAGATACCGAAAAAGGAACGAAGCCCAAGTGTCCCAACAAGGCATTGCAGCCGTACACTAGGAGCATCTCACCATGAAAGGCAATGGAGATGTTCCCAATGTGCGGTTGCAATGGCATATTGGGATGCTCGTTGGTAGGGCTTAGAACCCATTCACACTCCGCTTGTGCCTGTGCACATACAAACAGAATATTTCTAAAATTCGCAAAACCACAACACCCACTCAAATCAAGGGTTCGCCACATTTTGCTGCAGGTAAAGAGTGGCATTTTATTACTAGAAAAAAAAGAGTAACATTTTGTTCATTCAAGAAGTTGACGTCACCAGATACACCAAAGCATAGAGATGAAAACAAGAAAATAACTAGAGACATTGGTCAGCCATCATCTTATAGATGCCATGATGAATTCTCAGATCCAATCCGCTTATTGAACAAACCCTCGATCAGATTGGAAGAACGTGGCTCAGTTTATAGGCTCAGGAGGTACCACCTTGAAGGTACTGCCCACTTTGCCTGATCAAGCTAACTCCATGGCTTTCTTTCACTACCCAATATCAAACATCTGAGATTCAAAGAACAGCGAGTCTTGCTCCTTGGCCATGATAAATGATGGAGGCATGCAATAAAACCAGATCTGGCTAATATATTCAAAGAACGAAAAAATTCAACTCAATCAAAACCAGTATCAGGAAACTGGACCAGAAGATGGCCAAGGGAAGCATCTTGGGACTCTTCACCTGAACAATGTGATTTCAAATTACAAGTAGAACACAAGCTTCATACACAACGGAGATCTCCATGGGGGGCTAGTAAATGATACAAGAAGAGAGACCTGTTGATGGGGCCTGAGCATATCATTGGTACATGAGATGGAAAAAAACAAGAGAAGGATATACAAAGTTCTATGAGTTTATCAAGGAAGGAGCCAATGGAATCACACTATCAGAATAATCTGTTCTCGGCCCAGCAAGGGAGTAGTAAGCAAGTATTTGAGCTGGATGGTCGATTATCTCCTCTCTTTGGCCATCATTAATAACAATCCTTCTTGCAGGAATCAATTCAATGTTCCAGAAAGGACGAGCCATGGCTAAGAGATCATTACCTGTTGCAGATGCTCCATACCCTTGCACCCATAAGTATCTCAAAGAAACTAATCGTAATGCAGCAAGAGCTAGTCCACGTTCACTGAAGCAGCAGTCCCTTACTTCTAGCTTCTGCAGGCTAGGGCACCCTGTAGAGAATGCTAGAAGCCCATCATCTGATTCTCCAACGCATCCCAGAAGCATCCACCTCACATTTGGACTGTACTGCCCTATATAACCAAGACCCACATTAGTCAAGCCTCCGGGTCGCAAATAAAGAGCAAACCTCCTAAGCTTCTCACAACCCCTCAGCAGCACTTGGACCCCATTGTCAAGTGGCAAGTCTGTTATCCTTTCTTCTCGGTCAAGCAAGACTAACCGGAAATCACAGAGGTTTTTGCTATAAGTGCCAATAGCTTCCAATGCAGCATTGGTTATATCAGATACGTAGACAGCCAAGTATTCCAGCTCAATGCAGCCCTGTGCTAAAGCAGATAATCCTCTCTGTGAAACTAGGCCTTGTTCATCCTCCATTTCTTGGTCATCTGCACCCCGTTCAATTCTAAGCCTTTTTAATTTCTTACAACTCTGAGCAAGAACTTCAAGTCCTCTATCTCCAATAACATTCCTTGCCTGTTCATAATACAAAAAACAAAGCTAAGCTTCAAAAACTCAATACTCAAATCAAGGAAAACCACAATGAAGCAATGAAGGAAAATAGTTCTGAACTTATACCTCCAGAATTTCTAAATTGGGGCATCGTTGAATCAGTTGACAATGATCCTCAGTATCTAGCAATACATACAAGAGATCCAGCTTCTTGAGTAGAGAAGCAAATGGAAATACTATAGGCATCTCATTCCTCCCCATGTAGCTAAGGCCCACACTACGTAACCTTGGGGGCAATGTAACAATTGAGTACCTATCAGGTTGCTTATTGAAAGAACCACCGCCAAATTCCTCTAATGTGGTTGCAGCACGGAAGAAACCAACTAAGTCCAATATCTCGCAATCACTAATTTTAATAGAAACCAATGACCGGCAGTTTTCGGCTATCAGTTCAAGGTCTTGGGCACTAATTTTCATGAGCTCAGTCATATAGAAGTTCAACACCTCAAGAACTGTGTTGTTTAGAGCAAGGTCATGAAGCCATTCGCCATCTTTCTCAACTATTGAACTCTCTTCTAAAAACAAGATTCTTATGCATCTGCGGAAGCATAAATAGATAAAGACAAAGGCAAAAATATAAAATGTAGAAGTTCATGTCCAAGAAAAATTTAATCTTTTGCAAAAACATAAACGAAAGCAGCCTTGTCCTAAGCTACTCATACACTTAAAATTTTAGCATAAATTCAGTTTCTAGCATGTTATCCATGCCATCTCTTTTGCTTTTAACTAGGCACCATATGCAAATTGATATATGTGAACTAATTCCTAATGCACCAATTAAGGATCCCAAATCCCCCTAAAGGAGTCTACATCAGATCATGCATACTACCAAACCAGTGTTATTTTACCAATGCAACATATGATCACATACCCAGGATCATGCACTTTTTCTACTTATGCTAAAACACGTTAGAAAATCAACCATAGAAATCATAATCTAAATTTTGCTCAAAAGAATTCATGGATGTATCTTATTAAGGCAATAATAGCATGTAGTTCACCTTTGCAACCCACCATGGATAGTGGGGGCCATGAAAACCATTTTTTTTTGATAAATAGGGGCCATGAAAACAATTGTCCTTTGACACATCTTCTCACAGCCATGCCATGTACATAGGGGTGTCAATTGGACTGGATTTGGTCCAGTCCAATGTGAGTCCATTATAAATGGACCAGGTCCAATCCAATCCAATGAATGTATTGGACCAATTTGAACCAGTCCAGTTCAATGTATGGACCGTCTAATCTGTTCAAATTCATTTTGATTTAGATTGGTTTCAACCCAAACCTGGTCCATTGACACATATATTCTTATCTTATATCAATGGACCAGATATTGACTTAATCCAACCCAATCCAATATAAATTTGTTACGGACGGACCAGGTCCAATCCAATCTAATAAATATTTTGGACCGGATTGATCCAATCCAATATGCCTTGTTGGTCCGTCCAATCCATCCAAATTGATTTTAGACTGGACGGGGTCCAATCCAAAACCGGTCCATTAACACCCTTACATGTACAGCATTGCAAAGGACCTGAGGTACCTACAAGCATTTTTTTCCCATATTGTAACAAGCAATAACAGTCACCCATTTAAAATTTACGGATGATATCATCCTTTTTTGGGAGGATAGAGATGAAGGATCTCCAAATAGTGTTCAACTCTTTGGAATGCATTTTTTTTTCTGACTGAACTCTTTGGAATGTATTTCACATCTGAAAGCCAACCTTGGGAAGAGTTGTACTAGAATAAATATGGATAGGGAACCGATCGAGACGTGCAGAATTCTTTGGATGCTCAGTGAAAGAATACAATCATAAATCATGTGGTTTTTTAGAACTCAATGCTCAAAAGATTTTTACAAGTAATTGTATTGATGAGGATAGATTTGGCCCTCCACTGACATCATGACACATGGCATCTCAGAACAACTGGATGACATCCTAGCATCACCTAGGCGATGACTTGCCCTAAAAATGATGGAGTCCCAGCTGACGACCTACCTGACTCTGCCGCCAACCTGACGACCTACCTCTACTGCCGACCTAGCAACCTGCCTTTGCCACCGACCTGGTGACCTGCCTCTGCCACCGACCTGGCGACCTCATCTACAACTCAGGCACCCTGACGTGCATGGCTAGTAGCACCTCGCCCAGGGCTGACCTGTGGTACCTCGTCAGTACCGATCGAAGTGACCTCGACGTGAGGAGTGACCTCCCTCGAAGGGCTTGCCGACCTGATTGAGGTCCAGGTGGCAACCTACGAGACGTGCTCGCCAACCAACTCTGCATGCATCTCGTCACTCCCGGGTCTCTCTAAAGTCAATTCTCACACCAAATGTTTCGGAGGAAACCGAGTAAGGCACAAAGATTGGCCTACATGCACGACTACCTCCGAGGACTTCGAACCAATTAGGCATGTCTTCCCGGGGATCTCGGATGTGGTGCGTGATGCCCACACCAAACAATGCCTATATAAAGGCCTTACCTCCAACCTCATAAGGGATATGCGCAATTTAGTTCTCGCAGCTCTCCAGCTCTCTCATATTTAACTATCTTAAAAATCTCTGATTCACTGACTTAAGCATCGGAGTGCCCACCCCGAGTAAAGCAACCCAGGCACTCTGACACTGTTTCCTTGCAGGTCGCACCAATAAACTATGCTGCTCACCACCTTCAGCTAGGGACAGTTCAACTAGGCGTCAGAGCCACCTTTAGCTAGGGACAGTTCAGCTAAGCGTCAGAGCCACCTTCATCTAGGGACAGTTCAGCTAAGCGTCAGAGCCACCTTCATCTAGGGACAATTCAGCTAGGCGTCAGAGCCACCTCCAGGTAGGGACAATTCAGCTAGGCATCCGAGCCACATTCCAAGTAGGGATTGTTTAGCTAGGCATCCGAGCCACATTCCAGGTAGGGATTGTTCAACTAAGCATCCGAGCCACATTCCAGGTAGGGATTGTTTAGCTAGCCATCCGAGTTTCGAATTGTTTCGGCAGTTGGGAGCTGCCGAAACATGCATTGTTTTTTTCTTCATATTCGATCCATCTCCATGCATACTCTAATGTTGATTGGGCAGAATGTCCAAATACACATCAGTCTACAACAGGGTGGTGTGTTTTCCTTGATGATTCCCTCATCTCATCAAAGTGTAAGAAGCAAACTAATGTGTCCAAATCCTCTAATGAAGTTGAATATAGGGCCATGTCTACAGCTTGTAGTGAAATCATTTGGTTTAAGAACCTTCTTCAAGAACTTCACTTTCCCCTCATTGATTCCAACCCAATTTTTCATGAGCACACCAATCATATTCAGGTTGACTGTCATTTTATTCGTGATCAATTTGTAACAACAGTAATCACCCCTCCACACATTTCATTTGAGCTTCAACTTGTTGAGATCTTCACTAAAGCTAATGACTTGTGTGCACCATAAGTCCCCTGTGGGCAAGCTGACGTTGTCCCCACATCATTTTGAGGGGGAGTGCAAATAGGGTTGTATTTAGGGGTGGTCACGAGCTATTCGAGCTCAGCTCGTGAAAAGCTCGATTCAGCTTGGTCTAAACCGAGCTTCAAGCTGAATTCGAGCCTACCATATGGGCTTGTTTGCTAATCGAGCCGAGCTTAAGCCAAATAAAGCTCGGCCCGTGAGGCTCATAAGCCTAATCGAGCTTTTACATGCATACATGTATATATGTATACATACATACATACACATATACTATAGATATAAAAAATAATAAATATAAAAATATTGTAAAATGTTTGCCTCACAGCCGAGCTCAAACCTACGAGCTTTTGACTCGAGACGAATTTGAGCTCAAGTCTCTTGCTTGAATCGAACTTGAAACTCATAGTGTATTGGCGAGCCGAGCTCGAATAGCTAGATATCTAGCTTATCTCGACTCAAATCCACCCCTAGTTGTATTTTATTCTTGTATTGTATTAATGGGTCTCTTTGTATTTCAATAGAATGTATATAGGCTATCTTGTAATCTACCCACATAACACGGGGCATTTATGTAATTATACATAGCTTTTGCCCTATTCAATAAAACATTCTCGTTCGATACACCCCAAGCTCTTCTTCTTCTTCTTTAGTACTTGCATGAAACCCTAGAAGGGTAACAATTAGCTGAACTATGAATCCAAGTAATTGAAACCCTGAGCTCCCTTTCTAGTTTTGTCACTTCTAAGTGGGTTCATATGCTACCATGATCTATGATAATTATGTTGGAGCCATCTGATAATTACCACTAAATCCCCCCCACCACTATATTCCAATAACTGGAATCCCTTTCTAGTTTCTACCACTATATTTTGATACCTTTGTCATTCCTCGAACTTTGACTTAACTGGATTGCCCATGCAAAAGCCGTCGAGGTTTAGCTTTATATTGTTCAATGGTGGGGAAACACTGATTATGTATTACCATACTTATAGACAATGAGGATACTAGACCATTAAATGCTGAATTAATAGTAAATAAAAAGTTAGGACATTTTGGATCCCCTTCATAACATGTAGTAGTCTGGCAGGGGATCCAGAATGTCCTAACAATGAAAAGGATACCAAACCACTCAAAATGGAAGGCCTCTTCACACATTTATAAATAAAATGCAGTCTCCTATAGGCTTTTGCTTAGGTTTGATCAGTTATCAGTCAGCTCCAATAGCAGCAAATAACTCCTTAAGTTCTTCCTTTTAAAAAATGGTTTTTTAGGGAAGTAGCCATAACAAAATGCCAGAGAATTATTGATAAAAACAAAAAAAAAAAACAAAATGCCAGAGAATTAGAAAAGCATTAAGAGCAGTCTAGAAACCTAACATGCCTAGGCATTAGAAAACCATCCATGATCTCTGAAGCCATGACCCCCAAATGCTACATCTCCAACTACCTCCATAGCTATTAAGGCACCTCATTTTTTTATCAATAACAACACTTTTATTAAAAGAGATAAGTAAGATAAACCAGAAAGGAGGGGTAAAATGTCTTAACCCTCCCTTTCAAACCCGAGAAAACATATTACAGAATAGCCCAAAACAAATTAGATCTTCCCACCCCCTATTTAGCCAAGGAGTCAGCCATGGAGTTGGTACTCCTCTTAGCCCATTGAAACCTTATGGTCATCTTCTGAGTTAGTTGCTTGATTTTCTTTCTTTCATTTGAGAACTTCCACATGTTGAACTCTTCCATCTGCAACCATCTAACAGTCAGTTGGGAGTCACCTTCCACCAGCAACTTGCTAATATTCAACTGCTTAGCCCTTTTGACTCCTTCTACAACTGCTAGGATTTCAGCTCTCAGAGAATCCCCCCAGCCTATAGGTCCTGAGAACATAGCAATAATTTGCCTTTCTTCGTTCCTGAAAATACCACCTATGCCTGAAGGGCTTGGATTTCCTTCACTACTACCATCAAAGTTCAATTTGATGAAACCCAAGTCTGGTGGAGTCCAAACAGGTCTGATATCACTAGACATAGGAGCTGACCGAGCCACTTCTTCCCAGTTTCTAATGATGTAGGCTTCAAAAAGCT